ACTGGTCTCAAACTCACAACGGTCCTCCTGCCTCAGCCTCCTGAGTGCTGGGATCACAGGCGTGGGCCACCACACCTGACCAGTCTGGGCAATTTAGCAAGACCAAGTCTCAACAAAAAAGGCCTCGGGATGTGGCTCATGGCAGAGGTCCTGCCCAGAGCATGGGAGGCTCTGAGTTCTACCGAAAAAGAGAAAAGTACTTCCACCAGGCAGGTAACCTTTGGAACAGAGGCAGAAGGTCTTGGGGCAGGAGGGGTTAACGAGCACCCCAGCCCCTGACACCAGGCCATGCCCCACGCCTGTGCCGGGAAAGGCCTACAACTGTTCAGGAGCCCAGCACCACCTCAGGACCGATGTGCAGACAGGGTGTGGCCAGCTCTCTGGGCTGACTTCCGGGGGACCCTTCAGACTCTGAGTCCCCGGCACAGCCTGCACCCCACGGCATCTTCGATCAGCCAGCTGCTCTACGGCTTTCACGAGTCTGTGCACGCATGCGCACACATGCCGCCGAATGCGCGGTGTGTGAATCTGGGTTTAGCCCCTTCTCCTCTCGCCTGTGCACCCAGCTCAGCACCTTCCTCCTGCCCAGCTGCCCTTGTAGCACTGCCCTGTCACCCACACCCTCACCACATCTTGTGTGGCCCGGCCCCAAAGTCAGACTCGATCTTGGGGCTCAGGGGCACTGCAGCTGATGGGTCTGGGACCCCAGCACGCTGTGTTCATGGAGGGGGACACGCCGGATGCACAGTGAGTGTGGTCCAGAGGTCCCACAGCTCGCAGGCAGACGTCTGAGCTCAGCGTGGCCCACAGCAAGCACCAAGCCGGGCTGCGAGGGCCCATCCTGGGAGCTGCTGCCCGGATCGGGCGCAGAGGCGCCCTGGGCTCCCTGCACTGTCGCTCTGGACGCTGGCTTTGCGCTCCTGTCAGCTGGCATCTCCTTCTTGGACACAGGTCACCAGTTTCCCCTAGAGCTCTGCCTGGAAGCCAGCTGCCCCTCCGTGCAGTCCCTGGCCAGGGGCCGGCAGCCAGGGATCAGAGACCTCCCTGTCCCTCCCAGGCACCTCACTCAGCCTTCAGCGTCCACAGCGGGACGGCGACCCAGAAGGGCCTTGTCAGAGGACTCTCCTGTGGGGGCTCAGGTCTACAAAGGCCCTGGAGCCAGGGTCTCCCACAGGTGGCTCTGACCCCGTGGGACTCATGGTGCCCTGGGCGCACACTGACCTGGCTCCGCGGGCCCTGGGCCCAGGCGCAGCTGTCGCAGCCGCCGCTGATGTGCGCGCCCCCCGCAGTGCACCTGAGCCTGCGCCGCCGAGTTGAGCTGGACGTTGCACACGGCGCACAGCGTGTAGGACGGCCGCTTCCGCTCCCGCTTGGCCTTTGGGGCCTCAGGGGGCTGCGGGTGGCACTCGGCCTCCCCGGATGCAGGACGCTCTCTCTCACCCAGGGGCCCCGGGCTCAGTGGCCGCTTCATACCTGTGCAGGGACAGAGGGAGAAGAGAGGACAGCTGAGTAGCTGCAGCCGTGGAGCACGAGGGGCCCCAGACTGCCCGAGGGTGGCCACCAGGAGCCCCATGTGCCATTTACATCTCAGCAAAGCTGGAGAGGGGCTGTGCACAGCGAGGCCAAAACACCCCGGCCCTATCCGGGCCCAAGGCAGAGCGCAGAGCGGATGCTGGCCTGGGCCAGGTGGGCCCCAGCAGCACAGCAGCCCTGGGATTGTGCCTTGGGACACAGCAGTCCTGTTCCCAGCTCTACAGCAGGCGTTGACAGCCTGGGACAGACGACATGGGGCTGACTGCAGTGCTGACTGCTGACCCAAGTCACTAGCCAGCAGTGGCTTCCCGGCCCCTGTGCCCAGCAGGGCGACACTCACAGGTGGTGACAGCCTGCAAGCTGTCCCCGCCCTGCCCCACATGGCTCCGGGTGCCCTGCTGCCGGCACAGTTGTGTTTTGCACGGGGCTGAGGCCCTGCGGGTTGGGCCAACCCCCAGGCCCCGCAGCTCTCCTGCATCATGGCCCTCTTGTTTGCTGAAGCCCTGACCCCAGAGCCCAGAATGCAGCTGTACTTGAAGACAGGGTCCTGAAAGAGGTAACTGCCTTGGAATCACCACGTGAGCGATCGCTAACATGGCGACGGGGGGAAGAGGAAATCCGTATACACACGGGGAGATGGAAAGGCAGGCCAAATGTTTAAATTTTTAAAATCTTTAACAATAAAAGATACAGTTAAAAAAAAAAAAAAGCTGGGGAGATGGCTCAATGGAAGAAGTGCTTCCCTGGCAAGCATAACGGCTTGAGTTCAATTCCCCCCAAAAAACTTTGCAAGGGCCTGGGTTCAATCCCCGGTTCCGAAAAAAAAAAAAAAAAAAAAGTCAGGTGTGGTGGTGCATGCCTGTAACTCCAGCACTCAGAAGGCTCAGGCAGGAGGATGGCTTCAAGTTCAAGGCCAGCCTGAACTGAATAGTGAAACCCAGACTCAAAAAACAAAAAACCCCCCAAAACAACATATTGTCGAGAATGACGTGATAAGTGCGCGCCCAGCAGAGGCGACGTGGAGGGTTCGGAGGCTCACGGTGAGGAGTGTTTCACTCTAGCACGCCCCGGGTTTAAGCGTTCACCTCACTGGGTGATCGCCCACTGTCAGCAAAACATTCACAGCAATTTCCATCAGATCAAAACACGACACCAGAAGTGGTGGCGCACACCTGTGACCCCAGCACTTGCGAGGCTGAGGCAGGAGGATTTCCACTGAGAATTTAAGTGGGCTACACACTGAGACTCTGTCTCAGAACAAGCTGCAGCAACAGATAAAAACACAAACACGACGTCATGCCCTCCTCTGCCTTGTGCGCTGGGTCTCGCTCTGTGCAGCTTCTACTCCTTCTCAAGGTCGCCATGCCAGTGGAAGGGAAGGGATTTGAACTGATTTTCGGACATGGAGGCAGCCAGGACAGGGTCCCTGAAGACCCTCAGGAAAGAGGACTCCAGAGCTGCTGCAGAAAGGGGCCAGGACAATGGGAAAAATAGGTTGAAGTGAGGGGAGAATTTTAAGGGGGAGTCATGCAAATGTGTACTATAATTCATTTTAAAAACGGTTTTCACACTCATCATATTTTTGCTTGGACCACACAGTTAGATGGGCATTTCCAGGGGCCCGGGCGCACGGTGCCTTGGACCAGCCCAGCAGCCTCAGATGCCCTTGGGGGATCACCCATCCTGTGCCAGGCATGGTGTCACCCCAGCTCTCAGCTGAGGCAGGAGGGTCCCTGCAAGCTCAAGGCTGGCCTGGGCGACACCACCGCAGGAGCTTGTCACACACACACACACACACACACACACACACACACACACACGGACGACCTAAGGCCCCACACTCTGGGAACAGGTGATGTGGAGGCTGCATTGGCTTAGGGCTGCCCCTAAGGCGGTTTCTGTACCATGGCATCTGCGTGGCCATGTGTACAGGACAGGGGGACGCTGAAAGCAGAGATGGAGGAGAGACAGGGTAATAGAAAGGGCTGACGGGGCGCCAGCGCCCCGCCGCGAGCGTGGCCATTCTGCGCTGCGGACCAGCAGATGGGGGGCACATCCCCAAGCCAGGCGCGCCGGCAGCGCGGGAGCCAGCCCTGTCCACGCGGGGGACCGGAGCGCCTGCTGCCCAACCCGGTGCGCCTCCGGCCCCGCCGCGGGTGTGGTCGGGCAGCAGTACCGCGGACAGACCCCAGGGGGCGCAGCGAGCGTGGAAGAGGAGGTGCTGCGCACTCCCCCGGCAGTGCGCCCCATTCCCCCAGGCTTGGGATGCAGGCTCAGCTCTCCCTCTTCTACCCGAGGGAGGCAAGGGAGGGCCCTACCGCCACCAGGAGAGTCCCCAGTGCTGGCGGGACGCACCGCACTCCCCACAGGCAGCCTCCTGTCTTGGGGAGTCTCCCTGCCGTCTTGGCAGGAAGCTGAGGCAGGATGGTGTTGGGGGTGGCCCAGGTTTCGGAGCCTGGAGGAGGCCTCAGAGGACTGAAACGCCAGCAAGGGGACTGGGACATTTTGACATCTCAGCGCAATTTATGACAGGCAAGCCGGGGATGTGTCCCAGGAGAGAAGAAAAGTATGCCAGGCACTGGGTAAACCTGTGACACCGCCTGGCTCACAGGCCGCCAGGAAGCCCCGCCAGCACTCTGGGCCTGCCTTGGCCCGTCCTGCCTGACTCAGCCTTCCCAGCTGTTCCAGGACAGCCTTGCCAGCTCGCTCTCTCTCTCTCTCTCTCTCTCTCTCTCTCTCTCTCTCACACACACACACACACACACACACACACACAGAGTCATACCGTTCTGGGAGTTGAACCTGGAGCCTTCACACTGAACAACATCCCCAGCCCATTTTTTTTTTTTTTTATTGAGACAGGGTCTTGGTAAGTCACCAAGTGCCCAGGCTGGGCTCACCCTGGGTCCTGCCTCAGCTTAACGTGCTATGGTGTGCTGCCAGGCTTGGCCCCACGCTGGGCGCTGGTGTCAGCCTGGCTCCCCTCCTGCCCAGAGCACAGCCCGCGAGGTCCCACAGCTGGCTGAGCACACCTGTCTGACACAGAGCCCGAGGGGAAGAAGGCATGCCGGAAGCAGAGAGGAGGGGTGTGCAGGCCCTGTGTGCAGGAGCTCAGGGCAGGGGACAGGTTGGGGCGCCCTCGGCTAGGACCAGTGTCCTGCATCCCCCACTTCTGCCCTATGGATGCTGAATTTCAGGGGAGCCCTGGCCACCATGGGATGCCAGGGTTCCCTGCCCACCTGTCCAAAAGGGGGGCATCAAGGGGGCTTTGGAGCCAGGCGGTGGGGAGAGAACCGTCCCGCAGGCCGGAGAGCGGGCAAGTCGGAATGTTCTCAGCAGCTTAGCAGCTGTGCCGTGCTCTCCCTGCGGCCACCCTGCTGGCTCCCGGGCCCAGTCCCTGCCTGCCTGGGCTTCTGCCCCCACCCCTTGTGTCTAGGGCCTTCACTCAGAGCTACTTTTCCACTCCTTCACTTATATTTTATTTTGAGACAGGATTTCACTAAGCCACTAAGTTGCCCAGGCTGGGCTTGAACTGCAGTCTTCCTGCCTCAGCCTCCCAGAGTGCTGGGATGACAGACATGCACCCCTGCATCCAACGTGGTGTTTTGTCCTCACAGGGAGGGGAGGCCTTGGAGCTGACTTAGTGTGGGAAGGCGGGCAGGGACCTCTGCAGCCTCCTTTTTCTCCCTCTGCTGCCGGGAGACCCAGCTGACCAGTGGTTCTCAGAGGGACCTCCACGCCATGCTGGGGCCCACCGCTGGCATCGCCACCAGTCCGCAGCCTGCCCTCTCCGCCCAGGCTCTGTAGGGTCCAAAGGACACCACCCTGAGCCCTGCTCCCTGCCCAGGCAGCACCTCAGCCTGTGCCTCCAAGCCAGCATGGACTGTTGGGGCCAGAACCCTTGCTGTGTGGGGTGCAGGCTGTGAGGGGCGGAAGCCCTTGGTGCCGGGAATGGGGGGCGCCCCACCTACTGGGCCGAGGAGCTGCGGAGGGAGGGAGGGGTACAGCAGCCCTTCTTGCACCAATGAAAGCACCCCACCTCCGAGCTCATCAGGCCCCCGATTTGCACCTGGGGAGGAAGACTGGGCCTAAAAGGGCAGTTAGAGACATCTCCAGGGGCGGCTCTGAAGCGGGGGATTGGAGGGATTTCTGGTTCCCCCAGAATGGCACCTACAGGGTGGACAGAGCAGCACTGGTGGCCTGAGTCCTGTTAGTGCCCCTGGGCAGGAGGGGGACAGGAGGCTGGCAAGAGCCAAAGCAAGGCACAGGCCTGGCTCACACCCAGGACGAGACGGGCACTGCCCATCCCACTTGGCAGGGAGTCCCATACCCCACACTGCCCCTGCCCCTCCCCAGCTCACCCCAATGATCCTGCCTGTCATTCGGCCTGGCTGCAGCTCCGAGGGCCTCAGCATCCTCACCTTGAAGGTGGACACTCACCTGTGCCCCCCATGCGGCGGGGCCTCTGTTTTCCGGGCACACGTGAGCATGGGCATGCCAGGGTGGGGCCCCTTGAGGGTCGCTGAGGGAACGAATGAGCCAGCCTCCTTGAGGCAGCCGGCTCCATGGAGCCAGGACTGCCACAGCGAGCGCTGACAGGAGGCTGTGGAGGGGACCCGAGGCACCGCCCCGCCGCCCGCCACGCACTCATCCTCCAGCCGGGCAGCACGGCCACGCCCAGCGTGTGTCAGTGCAGAGCTGCAGTTGCTCCGACTTGGAAGGGATCTTGGAGGTCACCCTGTCCCTTCTGGACAGCCCTGACGAGGCAGCCTCTGTGCTCCAGCACGCCCGTGACGGGGAGCTTGCTACCGCACGGGCCAGGCCACCATCCTCAGCCGGGCAGTCATCTGGGGCCGAACCTGCCTTCTGCTTCTATAGTTTTGCATGTCTGTCTTTCCAGACAGTGTCTCTGTGTACCCGGAAGGCTGGTCTTAAAAAACTGACAGTGATCCTCCTGCCTCAGCCTCCCGAGTGCTGGGATGACAGACGTGTGTCAGCTTCTCCTCTCCCTTACAGCACCGGGCCCCGCCTGCCAACACCCCCATGACCCATCTGTCCCCAGCCTGAAACAGACACCTTGATGCGTGAGTGCAGACCAGCCGTGCGCTGCTGCCCCTCTTGTCCCGCCCAGCGAGAACAGGAAATCCCTCAGCAGGACTGCAGGTGCCCGCTTGGGCTACCCACAAAGCCATGGAGTCGCCAGGATACCCAGAAATAACACAGCTTTGAGTGCCGACCCCACACACAGAACCTGAGCCTCCCCTGAGGTGACCCTGGACAGTGATGGTCACAGTCATGGTCATGGTGGGCAGGGAGGCTCTGCTCCAAATTGTCCCTGTCCTCTAGGCTGGGTATCCCCAGAGCCCTGCACAGTGTTCCAGTGACCCCAGGAACAGAGTTAAGGTGGCCCCAGCCTCTCACGAGGAAGCGGTTCAGGGCCCTCGTCCTCACTGCCACTGCTCAGAAAGGACAAATCCTCTAACTAAAGCCCGGAGTGCCCAGCCTGGCCACCCCGTCCTCACACAGGACCTCCACTTCCCCTCTCTGAGCCATTCCACCCAAAGCTTCGGTGGTAACCCCACCCACCCCACCCACGGCAGGGCGCAGGGCCACACTGGTATGTACAGGGCAGGTGCCTGCCTCTCTCTGAGCCTCAGTTTCCAGGTGTGCAGCAGGGTGACCATGAGCTCCGTGCAGCAGGCTTGGGTGACGACACAGGGGCCCTGAGTTAGGTGTCCCTGCTCCCCACTGTCACAAGGAGATGCTCAGACTCAGGCAGCCAGCACTAGCTCTGGGTCAGGCAGAGCCCTGGGCCCGGCAGGCAAACCGCACACTCCTTGGAGGGAAGGGGTCGTGGCTGTGTTCACCAGCAGTGCCTGGATGGGCTGGGCTGCATCAGCTGATCGCTGGGGTCCGGGTCCGAGGGTGGGGGTGAGCAAAGCCCCAGCCCAGGCCGCCTGGCTCCCTGCAGACTGCAGTGCCCACCCGCCCCCACCCTCTACCTCCTAAAATAGCCCAGCACCCCGCGGCCAGGACGGCTCCTGCTACAAATCCCCTGAAATCAAATCCCCACCCTGCCCCTAGCAGGACACAGGGTGGCACCCCCTCCCGCCACCCTGGGCTCCACAGGGACACGGGTGTCCTTCAGGGTGACCGGCCCTAAATCCCCACCTAATGAAGCAGGTGCTGGTAACATGGAATTCGACTCCATGCTAATTGATTTGCTTTGGGGTGGAGACAGGGGGGGTGTCAATATGGGGTGCCCAGCGTGGGGGGGCTGGGGCCTGGCTCTTCCCTCCAGATCTGGAAACATGGGTGGGCCCTGGGACGAGAAGGAGCCTCACACGGTGTCTGCTCCTCCTGGCATGCTGCAGGCTCTGCACAGCAGCCGATGCCTAGCGCCTGACTCCCTACTGCCCGCTCCCTACCTCCTGCTCCCACGGAAACCCCACACACACATGCAAAGACCCGTCACCACACCAGGAACCAGTCACTGTGACAGACAGCAGGGAGAACTTCCTCAAAAACGAGAAGGAAGACAAACAGGCCTGAACCTCTCCAGGGTCCCCTCTCCAACTGGGCAGGACGACCGGTCATTCCACCTGCTGGGGAGGCTGAGGCAGGAGGATTTCATGTTCCAGGCCACCCTGAGCAGTTTAGCAAAACTCTAAATTTAAAAATAGGGCTGGGTCCTCTCCCTGGGTTCAGTCCCTGCACACACACACACACACACACACACACACACACACACCCTCCTGCTCAGAGCCGTATCCAGCTTGTTTGTGATTTCCATTTGGCACAGTAGAAATCAGTCCTCCTCTGCCCTAGCGGAGCAGGAGCACGGGTGGGGGCTCGGCACCACCCCCCAGGCCATCAGAGGCTACAGGGCAGCCCATAGTCAGCTTGTGGGGCAGCCTCATGCATCACCCTAGAAGGGAAGCAAAGGGCTGGGCCAGGGTCCTCGCGGGAACTTGGTTGCTTCCCTGTTTTTTTAATTTTAATTTTTATTTTTATTTTGTCTCAGTCTGTAGCTCAGGCTGGCCTTGAACTCCCTATGCAGCCCAAGCTGGCCTCGAACTCACAGTGATCCTGCTGCCTGAGCCTCCCAAGTGCTGGGATTGCAGGTGTGCACCCTCACACACAGCCGGAGGTTTGGTGGTGGGAATAGGTCCAGCAGGACCCTGCCACCTCCGCCCACCCGTGTGAGAAGGCGCTGGGCCCATCTTCACCTCAAAAGATGGAGGTAGATGAGGCCAGGTGGACCCTGAAGATTGGGGCTACCTGCGGCCAGAGGGGGACAGCCTCAAGCCCAGGGGTGGCCATGGCACCTTGCATGTGGCCACATCGTGACAAGGTCCACTCTGATCTGCCCAGCCGCTGTGGGCTGGGAGAGGGGTCTGCGGCTCAGCGAGGGGCCCCAGGAGCACTGGAGGACAGACAGGGAGGCTGAGGCTAGCCCTGTCTAGGGCGCTCACTGGACTCACAGGGCGCCTGAGAAAATCCTGCCTCTGAGCCTGGCTTGGTTGGGGGTGTGGCCTGGGCCTTTAATTCTGTCCCCTGATTCACAGTCCTTTTCCCTTGGTTCTGGGGCTTGAACCCAGACCCTTTGCACCAAACTACATCCTTGGCCCTTTTTTAAACTTCTGAGCTGCAGTGTGGCCGAGTTGCCGAGTTGCACGAGCTGGGCTTGGACTTGTGGGCTTTGTACCTCAGCTCGCTGCAGGCCCAGCCCTGGCGTGTTCCTCTAGCCCAGCAGTGGGACAGGGGACAGGGCTGTGTCCCGGCAAGCCTCCCTGCCCCTCCCTGCTCTCCTGGTGCTGCCCGGACGCTAAGGCCCCATGCAGGGGGCAGAGCTGGCCCAGGGAGTGAGGACCCGGGACCCCACCCAGCTTCCCAGCTGGTCTTGCTGTAGCTGCGCTGGCTGTCTGGGAACCCCTAGCTGCGTGGCTTGGGCCACGGTGGCCCGCGCGCCCCACTGTGTGGGTGGACTCTGGGAACGCTAACTCCTGAGCGTGTTCATCTACCGGTCAGCTGGTCACCAGCCTGGGTCTGGGCCACCAGCCAGGGCTGTAAGGCTGAGATTCAGGTCCCGGCCGGACATGGTGACGCACGGCTGTCATCCTAGCCCTGGGGAGGCTGAGGCAGGAGGGCAGCCTGGGCTACAACAATGAGACCCTGTCTCAAACAAACAAAATGAAGAAGAGGAGGAAGAGGAATGAAGAGGAGGAAGAGGAATGGGGCAGGGGAATAATCCGGCCTGCAGGCAAGGGACTGAGACCTGAGGACAGGAAGTGACTGGGCCCGACCCCAGAACCTCGGGTCTCCCTCCCTCCAGCCCCCCGACAGGCGCCTGCCCTGGCCCAGGTGGGCGCAGTGCCCCAGGCCCACAGAGGCCCCTTTGTGCCTGCTCTGGGCCACACCCTGGGGCTGACAGGCACCCTGTGTCTGTTCCCTTCACAGCCAGCTCTGCGGCCAGAGCAGCTCAGGCCACATGACAGGGCGGAGGGCCAGCACTCCTCAGTGGTGCCCCAGTCGGGCCTACCCTGTGCCTCCCTTTCCCCTAGCTTCCTTCCAGTCCTGCTCTTCCCTGTGTGGATCTGGGCGCAACCTCCTCACCAGCCTTCACCTCCCACTCGCGCTCCCCACAGCATCCTCCTCCCAGAACGGGGGCGAACCCTTTACAGGGCGAACGTGGCCCGCCAGGGTGGGGACGTGCGCCTGCCAGCTCAGCAACTCCAGGCGGAGGCAGCAGGATCCATGCGAGTTTGAGTTCAGTCTGGCTACACAGTGAGCTCAAGGCCAGCCTGAGCTACACAGTGAGACCCTGTCTCAAAAAGCAAAACAAACAACAACAACAGCAACACAACAAATAAGCAGGTCTGGGCTGGGGTGTCATCCTAGCCCTGAGGCCCTGAGAATCCTGCCTAGCATTTTGGAGGCCCTGGCTTAGTCTCCAGCCCTGGACGGCTAACCTGATCTTCTCATCCTTCTGCCTGAAGCACCAGATCCGCCCCTGCTTTGGAAATACTCAGCAGGCCGGATGCTCTGCCCACCTGGCCCCCGCCTCCCCGCAGCCCCCTCCCACCCGCAACCTTCAAGATAAGTACCGCCTGCCACCTGAAAATACTCCTGTGGTATCGCTGATGACCACCAGAAGTGGGTGCAAAAAACACTGTTATTAACTAAGGTGGACAAAAGAATCAAATCTTACCAGGCATGGTGGCACACATGTGTAACCCCAGCACTTGGGAGGCTGAGACAGGAGGATTGCCTCAAATTTGAGGCCAGCCAGCGTTGTATAGCAAGATCTTGTCTCAAAAAAAAACCAACCAACCAACCAAACAAACAAACAAAAACCCAACACACACACACACACACACACACACACACAGAAAAAAGAAGAAAAGATTTTTTGATTTCAGTCTCCCTCGTTGATTGTCAGCTGCCCCGAGGTACAGCCGGGCGGCAGGAGCCCACACTCCTGCGTGGGTAAGCACCTCAGATGCCAGCGTCCGGGGCAATGAGGAATGGAGGAACACAGTTCTAGGAAAATTAAATGGAATGAAAGCCATGGAAATCAGTTTAACTGCACCAGAGGGGAGAAACTGAAAAGTCGTATCAAGGAATCGGGTTGATGAACGGGGCCTCAGCTGGGAGCACCGCCCAGGAGCCCAGGCACAGGCGAGTTGGAGGGTGTTTGCATTCAAAACAGCCTCAGGTGCAGGCGCCCTGGCCAGAGCCCCAGCTCCATCGACCCTTTTCCCTGTGACTCCCAGCCCTATGGGCAGCCCCAGGCCCCTGCGGGCAGCGCCCCTCACCCGGGAGGCTCCAAGGCTTGGCTCTAGGTCCTGTGTTCCTTCCTCCCTGTCCTGCTCCCTTGGCTGAGGCCAAAAGATCACCTCTGTGACAGGAGAGGCCTTTCCCTGTCACCCGGATCGAACTCTTTGCGCTGAGCTGCACCCCCAGTCCTCTTTGTATGAGACAAGGTCTTGCTAAGTCTCTACAGGGACTTAGGAACTTGGGATCCTCCTGCCTCAGCCTCCCAGACTGCTCAGGTCACAGGATGCACCGCCACGCCCAGCTCATTGCCTCTGAGGTGAATTCCCTCCCCTTGCCCTTCCTACCTTGTTCTTTCTCAAATCCCCAGGGCAGGGCCTGGCAAGGAATTCATGGTACAAGCTCAACAAACGTGTTGGCCAAATCAAGAAACTATTGATCCCAGGGTGAGGGAGAAGGCAGAGGACAGAGGCTCCGGCTCCGGGAGTAAGGGGCAGAGACATACCCCTGGGATGTGATACCAGCTCCTAGACAGACAAGGCAGGCAGCCCGGCTGTGAGCTGCCACCCGTGCCCACCTCCGATGCCAACCCGCCAGCTGCTCTCCTACAGGGCCCTGCCCCCACTCCCAGCCTGGCCACCTGCCAGGCTGCTTGGGGGCCTTCTGGCTGCCTCTCCAGCCTCACCACCCTTGCTCCCCACCCTGCTGCCCTGGAGTTGCTGCCCCAGCCTCCACATCGGGGCAACCAAGTTCCCAGGCAGCGCCCAGGTGGCTGCAGCCATGGCCGTGCTCTATCCCCCGAGGAAGAAGCTAAGTAGGACAGTGCTTTTTAGAACAAGGTCACAGAGATGCTCCGGCTCTGCACAGTCTCCAGCCGGGGACCTGGGGACAGCATGGGCCCATGCAGCCCAAAGTGGAGGCCTGGCAGGAGTTTCCAGGCCTCCCTGCCAGTTGTGGATGCGATGGGGGTCCCTGTGGTGCTAAGTTTGGGCCACAGAGCTCGGTGTGGGGTCTAGAGCCACATAGGACCAAGGCCTGGTGGGACCTGGGGTATCTGGGAGAGCCAGCTCGGGGCTCGGGGGCTGCCCGCCCACCCACCCACCTACCAAGCATAGCACACTGCACCCTGGGCCTAGTCCTTGCAGGCGTCCACAGAGCTATAGCCTCCAGGGTGGAGGTCTGGCCTGGGAACCCAGGAGGGGCATCAGGGCCCCGTGGGGGACTGGGTGGGCCCCCGCCTGGCATCTGGAGGGGGTGGATGGGGATGTGGCCCGCCCCACCCAGGCCTGTCAGTTCGCAAGCAGGAACCACACAGCCGGCCCTGTGCGAGGTCTGGGGAGGCAGCAGCAGAGCAGCCGGACGGACGGCGGCAGCGCAGCTCGTGGTTGACAGCAGGAAGCCGGGGCTGGGCGGAGGCCGAGCTGGGCTGCTCCAGGGTAAACGAAACTCAGCCCTCCGCCCCCATGCTAGCACCTCTCCGGAAACTCCACATCCACACATCCACGCCTGGCCGGCCTTGGCCCGAGGTCAGTGGGTCAAGTGCAGAGGGCCCCCTGCCCCGGCCCCTCCAGCACTCACTGTCTGGAGCTGTCATCCCAAGTTCTCCACCAGAGTCCACTCTCACAGGTCTGGTGTGCCCACCGTGTGCCCGTGTACAGGCCAGGGGCAGTGGCGGCTCCCAGACACGCTGCCACCTTCTTCACGCATGGCTGCCCTATCCCCGGGACTCCTCAAGGGACAGAGAGACAGAGCCCGAGAGCAGGTGTGTGTGAGTGACAGACAGAGGGAGGAGAGGAAAGAGGAAAGGAGGACAAGCTGGAGAGCATGGCAGAGGACAGGAGGGGACAGGGAGCTGGCAGCAGCAGTGAGACAAGTGGAGGTGGAGGCAGGAGCTCCTGGGGACCCCCAGGAGAGACAGTCTGGACCTCCAGATGCCCACATACCTGGAGCCGCGGGGCAGGGGCTGCCTATCACTGCCACCTCAGGTCCCCAGCTCTGAGCCACTGCAGACACCTGGGCCCTGGCCACACTCAAGCAAGCAGAGCCTGGTGGGTAGCCCAAGGGAAAAGAGTCACCGGCCAGGGACAGTGGCTGCGGAGGGCGGGGGGCCTGGCAGCGCTGTCAGGAGCTCCCCTGGGTGCAGCGAGTGTTCAGTTCCACCGCGTGCTCCGTGGGCAGGACCAGGCTGCCCGAGACAGAGCCCGATGCCCAGGCAGCCCAACCGCATGGTGGGGACCAAGGTGCTGTTTGTTCCTGCTGGGGATGGCCCAGCACTTGCCCCAACCCTACACTGGCCCTGTCCATGGCCCAAGACCACAGTCAGGAGAGAAGCTGTGGCAGGGGCCTGGCCCGCGCTGAGAGGCACAGCAGGGACGGTGGCTGGACCCTCCGCGGGTCCTTCCTTGTTCCGGTAGCCTTGCTTTCCACCCGGGAGCTCGGCTCGCCACCGCCTTGGCCCTTCCTGCTGGTACGTCACAGGACGCTTTTAAAACTGTCCCAATTTTGGGGTAGAAAATGAGGTCAAGGGACTCAAGGGGGAGAGCATCGGTGACAACTGACTGTCTTCTTCATTTCACTTTGAAATTCCGCCTGGGACTAGGAAGTGTGTCCGGAATCCTGAGCGTACTAGGCAGGCCCCCACTCTAGTGGGGATAAAGAAAACAGGGAAGGGGATGCACCAAAAGGCCTTGTGGGCATCGCAGCCTGCCCTGGCAGGACGCACGCAGGGCCTGGGACAATAGATGCCTGTAGCTATGACTTCTGTGTGAGTGCCACTCGCTCGGGGTTAAGGCTGTAAACTGAGTTACATCCCCAGCCCTTTATTTACTCATTTTTAGAATGCTGAGCTAAGATCTCACCAAGCTGCCCAGCTGGGTTCCACCTGGCAACCCTCCTGTGTCAGCCTCCAAGGGTGCTGGAGGGAAAGGTGTGAGCCGCCATGCCTGCCCTGAGTAGTTTAAAGGTACAAACGAAGCAAAACCAAGAGCAAAACCCTTGCCCAACACAGTATGTTCTCACCCCCCACCTCCGTCAAGGACCTCGGACCCAGGTTCCAGTCCAGGTTGTTCTGCCTGCCTCCTGGGAGTTACTTCCAGTGACACGGTGGTGTGAGGGCGGCTGGGTGGGGACCCTAGCTGAGACCCTCACTGGCAGCAGCAAGGGCTCCCAGGCTCCTGGGAGGATAGCAGCCTCCGCGCAGGTCCTAGGCGTGTCCCACCCCGAGCCGTCCCGCAGTATGGAGACTGCGACCCTGAGTCCAGCTTGTCCCTCTGCCCTGTCAACCCCTCACAGGACAGGAGGTGACCCAAAGGGAGACCTGGCTCCCCTGGGCACACACACCCCACTAGGAGGCAAGACTCAGGTCACGGGGATTATTTATCTTCCCGGAAAGTTGCCTGCGGCTTCTGCCCAACTTGGGGATCTCTGGAGGCTGAGGGGGCAGAGAGCTGATGCCAAACGGACATCATTTTTTCAAGTCAACTTTCCAAGCCAGAGCTTCCAGGGTGGCAGAACCCTACACGGGGCCCTGTTGAGCCCAGGTCCCCATCTCAGAGATAAAAGGCCATGCCGAGGGCAGGCAGCACAGCAGCTCCGGGTCCTGCGTACCAGCAGGCAGCAGGAGTAGCTTGCTATGCTTCCTGGCCAAGCTTGAAAAATCCTTCCACCTCCCCCTCCCCCCCGCGATGGGCTTTGCTGTCCTGCAAAAGGGGACGAGGGGACGCTTAGACTCGCTGAGCCCGCACCAGGCGCCTGGCACTGCGCTAAGCAAGCGCTCTCCACACAGCTTAATCCCCCGTCACCACCACCGCGAGGAGACTCTATTACTGCCCCATTCCACAGGTGAGGCAGCTGCCCAGAGGCTACGGAACCCCACAAAGTCACAGCGAGGAAAGCGACCCGGGTCCCTGTCTTTCCCGGAAACAAGAGACACTGAGGCAGGAGGGAGCACAAGCAGGAGAACTTCCCAGCCTGAGGTTCAGCGTGAGCGCCCACGGGATGGATGGATGGGGACTCCGGACAGCTATGGAGGGCCCACCTGTCTGTCCAAAGACTTTCGTTGACCTCTGCGAGGCCACTGGAGTCCGGGAGCCTCCCGCCCACCACTCTGTAACCCAGGTGCCCGGCTCAGCCTGGGAGCTGTCCTGAGCTGGAGAAGCGTCGCCTGGCCGCCCTCTCTGGCGCGCTGCCCTCGGGGTCCTCGAGGGAACCTCGTCCCACCCACCACGGAGGGTGCTTGTGAGCCCCGAGTCTGCGACAGGCGCATGGCAGTGACCGTGGGGTCCCCAGCCCTGACACACACACCTCTGTACTCAGTGTGGTAAGTAGGATGCAGGTGTCAGGCCCTAACCTCGCTGACTGCAGAGCTGCAGCCATGGGGAGCCCAGTTACCCCCTCGGTGACCCCTGTCCTTGTGTCCCTTGGAATCTGCCCAGAAGGTCCAACGGGCGGCTCTGCCCGCTTCGGATGCCAGTGTCCGGGCAACAGTCCTCACATGCTTAGGAAACCCCGGGGGGACAGGAACCCGGGCCGGCAGGATGGGGACAGCCCGTGTCGTCGTCTTACCTGCGGGGACAGGCAGCGCGCCGCGGCCACCTGCGCTTACCGGGCTCTGAGCGCTGACACCCGGCCGGCGGAGGGGGCGGGGCCGGGGCCGGCCTGGTGGGCGTGGTCAGGATGGGCGTGGCCTCCTGGGCCCTCCTCCAGCCAGGCCTGGCGGCCGAGCGAGAGCGGCGCTTTCGAGTCTCAGCCCCTGGGTGGGGCCGAGCTGGGTTCTTAGACCTGAAAACCTCAGGGCATCTCCCAGGGCTGCAGGTCAGGAGACCCTGACCCTTCCGGAGAGGAGGAAATACACAGGGACCTCACCTGGCCTGAGCTCTGGCTCCTCTCTTGCAAGCTCCCGCAGCAGGGGTGGTGCCTCCCACCTGGAATCCCCGCGCTGGGGCGGCTGAGGCAGGAGATTCAAAAGTTTGAATCCAGCCTGGATGGACGACTCAGTTAGACCCGGTCTCAAAATAGGGAAAGGGCTCGGGATGTGGCTCGGTCTGCAGGCCCCGGGTACAATGCCCAGTATCGACCCCTCGATTGATCAGAGCAGGCTCCCCATCCCCGAGCCAGCCGCGTGGGAGCTCGGGCACGTGGGTGGCCCGCAGGGGCTCAGGTCCGCCCCCCGGCACCAGCTGCGGTCCCTCAGCTGTCGCCGTTTAGCCCTGGAATGACAGGCGTCCGGGCTTCGTGAGTCCTGCCGCGATCGAGGCCAGGGAGCTTAGCACCGGGCGCCCCCGCCCTCCCTCCGCTCGACTCACTAATTTTATTGACCTGTGAAAGGCACGTAGCGGCGGGCGGGCGGGCGGGCGAGCCTAGCAACCCGGAGCTCCGCGAGGAGCCGGTGGGGCTCCACGATCCAGGAGCAGCGGTGTGACAGGGAGGGCAGGAGGGGCGCCCTGGGGGGAACAGGAAGCGGCCTACTCTCGGGGGTACGCGGGGGCGTCTCGGCTCACAATCAGAGAACACCTCGCTGTCGACCGCAGCGGGCAGAGCACGGGCCGGAGGGATGGCCGCAAAGTGGGGGGCGACTGTCATCCGCCCCTCCCGCCCTCCCTCGTGAGGGCGACTCCTGCCCGCTGGGCTTCCTGCTACAGAAATAGCCCTTTCCCCGAAGAATCAACCTACTTCTGCCTCCTTATTAAAACGAGACCGGAAATCAGGCCTTTGCAACCCGCCCCGCCCCGCCCCCACCTGCGGGGAGCTGGCCTGGGACCGCGGTGGCGCTAGGAAGGCGCCCGCCTCTGACGGTCCAAACCGAGCCCTGTCCCGGCCTCGGGTGATCCCGGAGTCTCCCGTTGGGCCGAAAGATGCCCATCCAGAGGAAGGTCCTCACATCCCTGAAGTCACCACCACACTGCCGCGCCTGGGGGGGACTGCGGTGGAGACTTCCCAAACGACGCTGTTTTTTGAGGCAAAGTGCCGCTCTGTAGCCCAGATGGCTTTGAACTCACGGCAGTCCTCCGCCCCAGCTCCCAGTGCTGCGCTCCTGGGCGCGCACCAGACCAACTTCTTTACAAGAATAATTTTGAAGTGATGCCTGTGGTCAGTATGCAGATCAGAGGAACATACATGTTACATGTCCAGCTGCACATTATAAATATGTGCAATTGATTTTCTATCAATTATACCTCAACAAAGTGTGGTTTAAAATGCCGTATGTTGGAGCCGGAGATATAGCTCAGCGGCATGAGCACCTTCCTGGTAAGCGTGTGGTCCTGAGTTTGTCCCCTGGTGCTGAGGCAGGAGGATCAGTGACAGTTCAAGGCCAGCCCGAACTGCATTGAAAGACTGTCTCAAAAAAAAAAAAAAAAAAAAAAAAAAAAAAAAAAAGATATATTTTTTACTAATTCTCTCATGATTTTTTTTTTTTTTTTTGGCGGAACTGGGGATTGAACTCAGACCCTCGTGCTTGCCAAGGAAGCACTTATTCCACTGAGCCATCTCTCCGGCCCCTTCTATTTTTAATTTTTGAAGAGTCTCAAGAACCAGAAGTGGCTTTGGCAGGGAGGGTGTTGGGGGTCCTCGTGGTATAATAGATAATCCTCGTCCCCCCTTCCCGGCTCCAATCGACGCATAAGAAGTGTATGCTTGCGGCCAGCGGCCAGCACTGAACGGTGTCCCTCGTAGCGCCGGACCTTGAGCCAACCCGAGTCTCCAGGGTGCCCAGCGCTGGCGGCTCGGAAAGGGGCCAGGCCAGACCCAAGTGCCTCCCAAGAAGAGGGGAGCGGCCGCGGACTCTGCTGCCCCCTTCAGGACGAGCCAGGTACCGCAGCGACCGACAGTCAGTCCAGGGAGAGGTTGGCCAGGGTTCCCGCGCAGTGCTGTAGAAAGTCGAAGTCGTCCACCGGGAAGGGCACGCGCGACCACTTCTTGGCCTGGATACGGCCCTGCGGGGTCTCCAGGAGCAGGCTGCGCACTTTGAGCACGGGCAGGGTCACCGACTTGTAGATCATCTGCAGTCCCCAGCTCTGGTTGGGACAGGGTAGAGCGTCTGGGGCTGGGGCTCCCCATCCCACACTGGCTCCCACCCCTAGGGAGGGCTCCCCAGGGTGCTGCAGCCTGCGCACCTCCCCACAATTGCGGCAGCTGATGGCGCCCCCTGGCTTCCAGTCCTTGAAGGCTCTGTCGATCACCACCGGCTCCCGGGACACGGTGTAGTAGATCCTGGAGGGAAACCCAGTGAGCCCAGCCTTTATGGAGCCCAGACCTTGCCCTCTGCAGCCCATCGGGGCACCGTGGTTCCAGGGCCAAGATCGACCCAACCTCCACATACTCGGCCCACGTGTCTCCACGCGCTGCTCTGGGAGTCACAGTGTGGGACTCCGCCCCCCACAGCCTTGCTGGCACCCCTTGGGACTGCTCATCACCCCTGGGTAAAGGCGGCACTTTGGGGCCAGACCTTGGCACCCCGCTTGCCGTTGTCTGCTGTCTGCATTCTGATCCCCGCCTGCCTGTCCCTGTCCCCCAGGCTGAGGACCCCAGCCATGCCCCCTTGTGACACCCACGCCATCTTCTCCCTGTCTTCTCAAAGCCAAATGCAGCCACCTCACATGGGAAAAGCTGGGTGGAGACCCTTGGCACAGAGGCCTGACACTGCAGGTGCCTAATAAATGCTCCCTACGGCAGGGATGAGGCTGGGGCAACGATATCCTCCAGGGGACAGCAGGGAGGTAATGGCTGTTAGAGACAGTCTTGCTGTATTGCCTAGGTGGCTCCTGAATTCCTGGCCTCAGGCCACCCTCCCACCCCACCTCCCCTGAAGTGTGTGCCAGCCTCGCTGATGTTCTCGGAGAAGTCAGGACAGTGAATTGGCCCAAGCACTTAACACCCTAAGTTCCTGTTCCCACTGCGTGACACAGTGGCTCTGGGAATCTGGACAGATCACTTAGCCTCTTCCCTCACTCGTCGAATAGGGGCAGGGATAAAACTTCTATCATCTGTGCCACCATCAACTTCTGAGCCCGAAACCCAAGCAAGTCCCACCCCGCTTCCGTCTCCTCCCGACGGCCCCTTCCACAGGCTCACGAGAAGTTTGGGTTCACGTTGACATGGTGGGTGCCCTCCACCTTCCGCAGGTCACTGCCAGTGCCCACGGCCACCATGCAGTTGATACAGAGGAGCTGCACATGCTCTGCGGGGAACTGTCGCCGCTGTCTGTCTCTCTGTGAGGCCCGGGCTGCACGCTTGAGCACAGCTTTGAGCTGTAGATCCCGGATCTGGAGGGCGAAGGGGGTGCAGTCAGAGCCCCACCAGGCACGCCGCCCATTCGCACCCCTGCCTGTTCAGACCTTGGCCTGGTACTCAGCTGGGTCCATCTTCTGCACAACATCCACCGCCTGCTCCATCAGGGCCTCCAGCACCTCGTTGGTCAGCTCACGCCGCAGCTCCCGGCTACCCTCTGTGGCCACGAATGAGTACACGCTCTGGCTGGCCCGCACTCGGCCCCGTGCCTGGGGAGGGAAAGCGGAGCTGGAATCTGAGCAGGGCTGGGAAAAGGATCCCTGGGGCTGGTGGGGGCAGGGCAGGGCCCAGCACCTGGACCATGGAGATCTCGTTGGTCAGCAGCCCGTAGCGCACCACCACGTTGCACTTGGCGATGTCCAGCCCCTCCTCTGCCACACTCGTGGCCACCAGCAGATTCAGGGTGCCAAGCCGGAACTTCCGGATCACCTCCTGCTGGTCCCTCTGTTGGGGTACAGGCAGCCCTCTGCCTCGGCCTGGGAGGCCCCACACCCTCACCCAGGGCCCTCCCACACCCCTCCAGGGCACAGCCCCGACCTGTGGCCAGGACCACACCTGGGTCATGTGCGCGCTCTGGCTGCTGTTTCCCGCCCCAATGAGCATCTGGGCCTTGATTCCCGCCTGCCCCAGGGTGGGCTGCTGCTGCAGCCAGAGCAGCAGGGACTGGGCGCTCTGGCGGGTGCGAGTGAAGACGATGCCTCGTGGGTTGGTAGGGTCTCTGAACTGCTCCTGCAGGATCTGCTCCAGCATGTCCAGCTTGGGGTTCGTGGGGCCATGTGTCGCCAAGTGGGTCAGCTCCTCCTTGTGGTCTGTGAGGAACCCACAGGCCAACTGGACTCCTGCAGCCCTTTTCTTGTTTTGAAACAGGGTCTCCTATCTGGCTAAGATCAAGGGTGAAACAGGGTCTCCTTAAAGTAGCTAAGCTGCCCAAGCTGGGTTGGAATTAGTGGCCCTCCTGCCTCAGCCTCCAGGACTGGATGATAGGTATGTGCCTTCACAGCTGGCAATCCATCCGGGGAATTTTTGAAGACCATTTCAATTAAACAGTTTAAAAAGATATCTGTCAATAAAGTAAATTCACTTCCACAACTACGCTCATCTCTCACAGACGAGGAAATGAACCTGGCGTACCCATGGCTTTGGATTCCACAGGGTCCTTCCCGCCGGCCCCTTCCCAGGCTCCTCACCATCGAACAGGCCTAGCAGCCAGCGCTCCGCGTGTAGGATCTGATTTTTGGTGACGCGCTCCCGGTCGTAGAAGTCCTGCAGCGAGGACAGGGCGTCCAGAGCACGCACCGTGTCGTGGATGAGCAGCGCGTCGTTGTAGCGGCGCAGGTGGAGCGCGAGTACGCGGCGCTGCTGGAGCCCAGCCTCTGCGGCTGCGGGCGGGGCCGGGTCAGAGGCCACGCCCAGAGGCACCTCCAGCCTGGGCTCCGCCCCTTGGCCACCAAACCCCGCCCCCCACAGCCAGGCCCCACCCCTGGGTGGACAGAGCTTGCCCCGGGCGGCCCCTTGCACCTGTCTTGCACAGCTCCACCACCTGCTGCTCATACATCTGCGTCCCAAAGTCTTGGGTCAAGTCCGGCATTTCTGGGTGGTCGTGGATCTGAGCCATAAGCTTCTTTATCAAGCCCCCAAATGGGTCCTGGACAAGAGGAATGCACGTGGGGGGTCAGGGGGGTGGCAGCTGGAGGAACGCTAGGTCCAGCACCCAGCTGCTGGTCTTGCCCATGTGTTCTATTCATATGGGGCAGCGGCCAGTGAGAGCTCGGTACACCCCAACGGCTTCCCGGCCTGCGCCAAGGGCCCTGACTAACGTCCACAGTGCTATCTGGGCTGGTCTGAAGAGCCATGGGCACAGAAAGAAATAGGCCCAGCGCACAAGCCAAGGATCTGCAGTGCCCAGCTGGCGGGGTGCAGGCAGCACAGCGTCCCACCTTGCCCTGGCCCCGCACACCTGACTCCGCTTCTGGCACAGGTCATACTGCTTGCAGGGCCGGGGCCGGTGCTCCAGCAGCTCTGGGCGGTGGGTCTTGGGCGACATGATGCGCCACGTGTCCAGGTTGGCACAGAGCTGCGGGCAACAGGGAGAGCTACATTGGGACAGGGCGGGGTCCCTGGGGACTGTGGGCAGGACTTTGAGGTGGGTGGGTCTCTGTGGAGGACACGGGGCAGGTGGGGCAGAGTTAGGGTTAGGCTAAATTAGCAGACTCTGTCTCAAAATGAAAAGCACTGGGATGCTGTTCATGGCAAGGCCCCGAGCTCCACCCCCAGCTCCTCACACTTGAGTAAAACTGGGTGAGCACTGATGTGTTCAAGATGAGCCCTGGGGTCCTGGGGGCTGGGAGCTTGCTCCAAGAGCCTTGAGGGAGGGACGGAAGCTGGGGCCGTGGGAGGGTGCCTGGGGGGGGAGCAGGAGGGCCCCAGGGCCCAGCAGACCTGCAGGATGTGCTCCACAGCGCCCTGGAGCTTGGCGTGCCCGCCGGTGCCCGGAGAGGCTGTGAGGCCCAGCACCTGGGGCAGGTGCCCGCGCCTCTGCAGTTTGTGCTCCAGATACTGGCTCAGGATGACATTGTAGACAGTGTCCTTGTGCGTGTGGTGACACTCGTCCACCACGATGAGAGAGAAGGCTGGGGCCGCAGGGAAAGCTAGAGTCTGCACTGTGCGTGGGGCCCTCCTTCCCTTCCTCTCTGCTTCCCGTGGTCACACCCATCTCAGACCTCCATGGCGCCAGAGAAGGGACCAGGTGGGGGCAATTTGTGGCCAATTCACAGATGAGCTGAGGCTTGCTTGGAGGGACGTGCCCCCAATCTCTCCACAGCGCCCTGCCCAGCCCCACATGCCTTGGTGGAGAAGGCCCAGGTGTGTGTCCTCGCTGCCCTGGCCTCGGCCTCACCTGTGAGTTCCACGTGCTCCTCCTCCTCCGAGCTGCTCAGCGCTGCCTGCAGGAGCTCAGCTGTGCAGATGACCACGTCGTGCTTCTGTGCCTCGTGGCCGAATCCAGCCCGTGCCCCCATGTCCCCACTCAAGGTAGTTATGGCCCAGCGCCCATCCAGAATGAGGCAGAACTCCTCGGCGTGCTGGGTCACCAGGTGCACCTGCAGGTGCGGGTGAGTGAGGGAGAGGATGCTGGGTTTGGGGTTAGGAAGCAGGGAGAGGGTAGGTGCCCCCACCCCTGGCTGGTCCTGGACTGTGGTGGAAGCTGAATGGGTCGGGGCCGCGAGGGAACCAAGGTGCCGGCCTGCAGACCGAGCTACTCACCCTGTTGACCAGCACCACCACCTTGGCCCTGTCCACCGTCTCTAGGTGCCTCTTGGCCACATAGGCAGCCGCCCGGGTCTTGCCTGCGCCCGTGGGCAGCCAAATGATGATGTTCCTGCCCTCCAGGGCAGGCATGATCACCTCCCACTGGTAGGGCCGCAGCGCCATGGCCTCAGCCAGCTCAGCCGGTGCGGAAGCCTGCTTTCCCTGGACTCGGCCACCTGAGGGAGCACCAGGACCCACCTGGAACCCGCCCGCCCCGCAGAGCGGAGGCCGCCCGGCTCACACACTGGGAAGCCCCATCGAGAAAACCTACTGGGTCGGGCCTGGGAAAAAGAAACTGAAACAAGGGGCGGAGCCAGCCGGCAAAAGGGCGGGGCTGAGGCAGGGGTGGGGCTGGGGTTAAGCAGAACCAAAACTCGCGGCTGCCGGGCACGCGGGCGGGAAAGCAGGGTCTGACCTTGCTGCTTCTGGCATCTGGGCCAGGAACAGCCTGGAGTGGGGACAATGCTGATCACGGCCTGCCAGGCACCTGCTGTCCCAGGAGGGGGGACTGGCAAAAGCAGGCAGGGGACTGGGCAGAGAGACAGCATCACACAGGGGAAAAAACCACAGAGCTTTATTGTTCTATCAAGGGGTTAGTGAGTGGTCCCCACTCCCCCGGCCCTGGACAGACCACAGGACAGTGCAGGGCCAGCCACAGCCCCTGCAGCCAGGCTTCGCTAGGAGCCGTGCTGAAGTGACAAGGAGCAGTCCTGGCCCTCTGGGGCAGAGCCACCAGACCAGAGCGCCGAGGCTCCGTGGCTAAGGGCCGGACAGAGTTCATCCCCCAGGTGGGGCAGGGGCTACTTGTCGATGAGCCCGCCCTCCTTGAGCTTGAAGTAGAAGAACTTCTCCAGCGCGCTGGCGCAGCGGCAGTACTCGCTGTCCGGCGGGTTGTACTCGCGGCAGTTGGCAATGACCCGCTGCAGGTCAGCCACGAAGAGCTTGCGGGTTACGTAGTAGCGGCTACGAAGCCGATCGGTCATGGTCTTCAGGTCGATGGGGAAACGGATGACCTCGTAGTAATCGGGGGCCTCAGACTTCTTCACAGGCTCCATGAAGGGCCACGCGCTGGGGTGTGACTGGGGAAGAGAGTGGAGCTGGGGGCCGAGCCCTGGCTGCCCACCCTCGAAGGGGAGATAAAGCCGTGGCCACGGTGCAGGCAGCCCCTGGTCTCCCCACCTTGATCTGGGCCAGCAGGTTTTTGAGGGTCGTGTACAGCTGGTCAGGGTCCTTGAGTTCCTTGCTGGGGTGAGAAACCAGGTCTCAGGCTCTGCACCCCAGAACCCCCAAGCCCCCAACACTGTGCCCCAGTGTGCGGCTCACTTACCCCTTTTCCTTCCCCAGGGGCTTCCAGCCCGTCTCTCCTGCAAAGGCAAGGGGGAGCACAAGCCTGAGCCTGGCCAGCTCCTACGCAGGCCAGAAGCCCACCCTGCCTGCTCACAGATGTCAGAGGCCCGGCCCGGCCCGGCCCGGCCCGGCCCGGCCCGCCCCGCCCCGCTCACGGATGCCGGGGACGCTCTCCACCGGGATCTGCCGCACGCCCTCCTTGAAGCAGCTCAGCCCGGGGTAGACCTTGCGGATCTGGGCCTGCTTGCGCTCGATCAGCTTCTTGATGATCTGAGGGGGACGGCTGATGAGACTCTGCCCGCTGTGGGCAGAGCCGCACATCCCGGCACTCCCGCCAAGCCTCCCGGGGCGCAGGCGCAAAGTGGCCACACACGCACCTCCTTCTGCTTCTTGATGATGTGGGACAGCTCCGTGTAGGGGATGCGGGGGTTCAGCTCACACTCCATTAGCGTTGCTCCCTCGTAGTCCTTGATGTAGCCCAGGTAGCGGCTCTTGGGGACCTTGATGTCCTTGGAGAAGCCCTGGGGTGGGCGGCAATTGCCCTGTCCTTCAGCATGGGTCCCCCAAGGCTTGGGGCCAAGCCCTCCACTGGGTCACAGGAATTCCATCTGTCCCAGCCAGGTGGCAGCATAGGGGGACGGGGGAGGACTTCCTCTTGAGTGCCAGGAGGAGCAGGGACACCAGCGGGGGTAGCAGGGGTGCCAGGCCCACCTGCTTCTTGAAGTAGCCGATGGCGTACTCGTCGGCGTAGGTGAGGAAGTAGAGGATGCCGTGCTTGATGTGGTACTCCTTCAGGTGGTTCATCAGGTGCGTGCCGTAGCCCTGCAGGGAGCGGGCGCACTGCAGTGGGCACTCTGAGCCCGGGGGGAGCACACAGAGCTGGCTCGTCTGTGAGGGACACCGAGGGAGCCCCCGGCTGGGTCTGTGGGGCAGGTGTGAGGGGCCCCGTGCCCATCTGCTCCCCACTGCAGCAAGTATACCGTGATGAAAACGGTTTACTGAAACTGTGATGCTGGTTAGGGTACAGCTCGGGGCAGGGGGCACGGGGAGGTCAGGCTTGGAGCCCAGCACCGCAGGCAAGGAAAAAAAAAAAAGAATAAAAGAAAACTTGCTGACTCTCAGGCTCCACTTCCGAGGGGCAAGTCCCTTTTCTTTCCGGTACTGAGCACTGAATCTAGGGCTCTCACACACAGCTCTGCCCGCAGACCTTTTGTTTATTTTGAGACAAGGTCTCACTAAGCTGCTAAGTTGCCCAGGCTGGGCTCGAACTTGGGATCCTCCTGCCTCAGTCTGCTGAAGGGCTGGGATTATAAGCAACCAGCCACAGCAGGGAGTTCCCTAAAGCACAGTTCTTAAGGTCCAGCTGCCCCCTGGCGGGACTGTGCAGAATACACTCTGCCACTGACAAGGGCTGGGGCTGCCACACAGCTGGCCTGCAGCGGACACGGACGCAGCTCTGTGCTCACCTTGACCTGCTCGTTGGAGGTGACGGCGCAGAAGACAATTTCAGTGAAACCCTGGGTGGGGAACATGCGGAAGCAGATCCCACCGATGACACGGCCGTCCTTGATCAGGGCCAGCGTCTTGTGCTTCCTGGGAGAGAGAGGTGCGTCACAGCCATGCAGGTCATCTGAGGCCCGCTGTGGTCAGGATGGTAGGACCCAGAATGGGGCAGGTGGCGTCCCAGAGGCGCAGTATTGGGGGAACGCACGGGTCGAACACGAGGCGGGCGATGTATTCCTTGGGCATGCGAGGCAGCTGATGGGAGAAGACATTCTGCAGCCCCACGAGCCACAGCAGCACCCGCCGGTTGGCCTTGGGCGCCAAGGAGTTGCCGATGACATGGAACTCGATGATGCCGCGCCGCTCTTCCAGGCGGGCTGTCTCATCTCGTGCAGCATTGGCTGACAGCAGGCTGGTCTGGGGGGCAGGAAGCAGGTGAGTGGGGGCGGGCGGGGGTCCCACCCCGACAGTCAGCAGACCCAGCTGCCTACCTCGGGGCCCAGCATGGCGGCGGGGTCGGTAATGGTCAGCATGACCTCATTGACCAGCTCCATGGGGATGTCACCCATCACACGAAGCCGTTTAGCATCCTCCAGCGTCAGGTTCTCTGGTAGCTTCCTCTTTTCTCCTGCAGGAGGGTGGCAAGGTCACGGCTGAGAAGGTGAGTTGAGGGTGCTCAAGGTTGGAGGTCAGGGGTCAAGGGCTCACCTGGCATGGGCTCAGCGCCCGTGGCATCTAGACTCAGGGAGCTGTTGCTGCCCCCTCCCATGGTGGGGCTAAAGATTGGGGTGCTGGGAACCACTGCTGCGCTGACCGTGGCTGAGGGACAGAGAGAGTCAAGGACAAGGACAAGAAGGTTATCTGGTTCCTTCCAACCTCAGCCAAGTGCCCAGCATTTCCCCTCAACCCCTCTGGTGCCACCCACCTGGCCTGGGCACCAGTTGTGTGCCCTCCGATGGTGGCATGGTGAAGCCTGACTCCCAGATGGGTGAGTTTGCCCCATAGATCTCCTCCTCCAGCATGGACAGGAACCTGGGGGCAGCATGGACAGTCCAAGCACCCCATCAGGCAACTTGGGCAGCATCAGGGGGCCTGAAGCCTCCAGCCAGAACCTGCTCCCAGGCACTGGGAGGCTGACAGGAGACAGCACTGCCCATGGGGAAGTCCTAGTACTGTACCTTCTTTAACTAGAGGCAAGAAACAGACTTGCCCTGGACCAGCAGAGCACAAGTCCCCTCTTCTCCCTACCGCCCGGGCTTTGTGAGAATCATGTCACCTCAGATATAAGCTTTGGCTGTGGGGGTGCAAAGTCCCAGCAGGCAGGACAGAGCCTTACTTTGGGAAGTGGGTGAGGATGAGGGTCCTCTTCTCAGGCACCAGCTTGTCCTTCTCCACACGGAACTTTTCCAGCAGCTGCCGACGTGTGACAGTGAAGATGGACCGCAGCAGGCTGCGCCCGAAGACATGGGTGGTCTCATATCGAGGGAGGCTGTCACAGCTCTGGGGCACGTGGCAGTAACACAGCCACCTAGGTTGGGGGCAGAGGTGCCGGTGAGGGTGAAAGCTGAGAAGCCAGGGTGGGCTGCAGGGCTTGGGGCGGGCTGTGCCCACCTGGTGTAGTTGACCTTGTAGGTGGCCACATCCTCTGACTGAGACCTCTGCCGGAACTGGGCGGGCGTCTCCAGCTTCCAGTAGTTAAGGCAGAGCAGGAACATCTTTGAGAGCTCAAACATGGTCTGGCGCTCCCGGGGAGCCAGGTGGCTAAACTTGTACTGCACGAAGTTGAGCACACCCTGGTGAGGGGACAAACGGGAAGGTGGCTGAGTGAGTGGTCAGGAGGTGGTGGGGAGAGGGCACACCCTTCTCTGAACCTTGAGGCTCACAGCATGAGGAGGACCCGGGAGGACAGAAGCCCCCCACTGCTCCAAGCCACCACAAGCCTCTCCATCTGTCCCACCTGCTCAATGTTAGGCTTCTCAAATGGAGGGCTGCCCAGTGACCCCTCCACCACGGGCCGGGTCATCTGCAAGATGCATTTCCGCAGGAGCTGGAGGACAGGGACAGGGAAGCTCAGGGCTTTGAACAGCACCCCCAACACCCAACACAACGTACCACGTCACCCCACACCCTCCCCAGAAGCTCACCTTGAAGAGGTAAAAATACACCTGCTTGGTGTCCGTGTCTTCCTCCTTGTGCACAGACATGAACAGGTTCTCCACGTCCACCACCATGCCCAGCAGCCGGTTGATCTCGTCCTCAGACACATTCTCCAGGTGAGACACATGGTCAGCTGCCCCGAGGACAGGTGGCAGGTTGGGAAGAGGCCTCCAAAGGGCCGCCCGCACCCCCCGACTGCCTGGATTTCCCGGGAGCTCTGGCTCCGCCCGTGCCTACCCAGGGGGTGCTCGCAGCTTCGGCACAATTCGCCCAGGTTGGCAGCCGGCTGCTGCAGGTCCATGCGGGGCGCGGTGGGCGGCTTCGGGTTCTTCCAGCCATTGCACTTGCAGGTCTCGTTGGCCTGGGGATGGGGTCGGGCGTCACGCTCGTGCACCCCAGGCAGGGGGCTGCACCCCGCGCCCGCCCGCCAGCCCGCGGCCCCCGCGCCTACCTTGCAGGCGGAGAAGACACCTAGCTTCTCCAGCTTCTTGGCGCGCGGCAAAGCGCGGACCTGCGCCTTGCGCTGGCTGGCACGCTGCTGCTGGCTGAGCCCCGGCCGC